CAATCATCTGATGACGGCATTGATCAGCTGACATTGAATGATCCAATCCTGCTCCATAATTGACCTTCAAGTTACGTAACAAATGAGATGTAAACAGGACGTGGTCGAACAATCTCTGTTCTGTGTATTGTCAAAATGGTTTCCTAGCTCTGCGCTGTTTCTCCACCAGAGGGCACCAGAACTTCAGTTATTTAAATGTAACTCTGGAGACACCCGACTCCAAAGATTGTGAGCAGGCGGAGCAATAATTACAGCTCCACCTGTCAGTGTAACAGCGCGGCTTGTAATCTAAGAATGATCTGAGAATCTAATGGTTTACTGTGTAATAATGACATTTGATTTAACCTCAGTCATTAATCTGAATCTGCCGTGGGTTTGTACAAAGCAATAACTTCCACTAGACATAATCCTCTCCCTATTATTTTCTGAATTCTTTCCTGTTATCCTTATTCCCTGTCTTCCTAATTCTTGCCTGTTTACTGCATGTAGGAAAAATGAACTGCCGTGAATAATCCTGAATCAACAGGATTGTCATGCTAATCATCATGCTTGCAACTGTAGCTCATTCTCTGCTAAACTGTCAGTCTTCATGTTGCATGATTTGTATGAAAAGACATGGCATGCGTACATTTACTCCTTCAATAATTACATTGTGGAGTCTCTGGGTCCACTGTGGTTGACCTGTCTCAATGCCTCCATCACAGGTATGAACCAACAAGCAGAGGGAGGATTTGGAGGGCCTGGCACGCCACAGAGCCCCATGCTCTCTCCCGCATGGCCCACACACAGTCCCCATGAGCAGCAGGGCCAAGGAGACGCTGCTTTCCAGGGCTCTCCTGACGATGAACGGCTGGCCACAAGGCAACATTGGAGGAAACAGGTAGACACAGATATAGAACTTCAATGTATATCTCTTAAACGTCATGACTACACTTTGCAAAGATAACACTTCACTGATGTTGTCATAAATGTACATTCATTTATCTGAGAAAAACGACTCAGGTCAGCCTGTCCAATACTCCTTCCACTTTTTATCTTTTGGTTAAGTCAGTGCCAACAGGAACTGTGTGTATAAATAAGTCCTTATCTGCTAGAATGTTATCAAAAATAGGCACAATAATAAAGAAGTGTTCATGTAGCTGCAGCTTATCCATCGATTCCATTGAAATATTTACCTGTTTACAAAACCAAACTGAAGTGACGGCTGAAGCAGGTCATGAAATGAAAATTTGGGGGAAAAGAACGTTATGCTAACGCTTGGTCAAATTTCTTTTTTCTTGTTGAATACTATAAAGCTTTTTGTGAGGAGGTTATGAAACTGGTTATGAAAAAGATTTCCTACAATACTTTTGCCTCTATGTGCTATGAAAAGTAAACCAATCCATAAGTTAGGAAATGGAGTTTTTCTGTGCAGTTATTTTGAATGCCCATCACTGCTGGTGAAGCTACACCAGCAGTTACTGTAAATTAAACTGTAAACTTCTGCTGTATTTTAAAACATGTATAAGACCATGTTCCAACTAATGTTGTCACAATCACAGAATTCTGAAACTGCAATACTATATTTATAAAACTCAAACTATGTAAATACCTGTTTAATACCACGGCCACTAAAATAGAAGTCCTGGACTCCATTTATTGGTTTTATGGTTTTGACGTTTTGATACCAAAAGGTTGCCAAGGCATTTAGTGTCATTCATAATCCAGATGAACTGACTTGTGAATTAAAACAGATCACTGCTCTCTCTCTCTCTCTCTCTCTCTGTCTCTGTCGCTGTCTCTCTCTCTGTCTCTCTCGATCTCGCTGTCTGTCTCTCTCTGATCTCTCGCTCTCTCTGTCTCTCTCTCTCGCTCTCTCTGTGTCTCTCTCTCTCTCTCGCTCTCTGTGTCTCTCTCGCTCGCTCTCTCTCTCTCTCTTGCTCTCTCTGTCTCTCTCTCTCTCTCTCGCTCTTTGTCTCTCTCTGTCTCTCTCTCTCTCGCTCTCTCCCTCTCTTGCTCTCTCTGTTTCTCTCTCTCTCTCTCTTGCTCTCTCTCTCTGTCTCTTGCTCTCTCTGTGTCTCTCTCTCTCGCTCTCTCTCTGTTTCTCTCTCTCTCTCTCTCTCTTGCTCTCTCTCTGTCTCTCTGTCTCTCTCTCTTTTTCTCTCTTTCAGCAGCTGTGGATTCAAAATAATACTGAAGAGTTTTTATAAGCTTTGGAACTTTTTGATACTATCAAACATTTAAAGAACAGAGAGTTTATCGTTTTAAAAACATGTGCTTTGAGAAAGTATCAAAGTATTTTACCGTAAAATACATTCTATACGTCGCACCAGTATACAAGACGGAGTCTGTTTTTGGGGTCTCTCAGAGAGAAAAAAGGTTTAAACTGTTTTCCTGCGTGCTAATTTACACTACGCTCAGCAAAGTCTACAAAGTGAATATTACATGCAGCTCTGTGGCTCTTTTAGTACCATCTATTTTTGCTTTGTGGAGTTTCCTACTAGCTGCAGTACGGAAGCTGAGCTCTCAGCCTACAGTGAACGTTCTGAAGTACCATCAGCCCGCGAGTCGCACTGCCCACCTTCACTGGTCGCTCATTGACTTTAATTGAGGAGTCTTTCAATCAGTCCAGCACTCCACAGGCTTTGTTTACTCAAGAATATGACACCGTTTTTGTCAAATGAATAATTTTGAGCTAATGAAAGAGTAAAAGTGGTTCTGCCAGCACGCTCTGCCTCGCTATTTATCCCCACAGCTCGCGAGCAACAATGAATGAAGGGGAACTATTTCAGGTCGCCTGCGATGTGTGATGCGGTGGCTGCACTCGCACTAATGCCAGCGCGTTTGTAAGCAGTTTATACCAGTATATTGGTCCAATGGTGACGAGCTAAATGTTTTCTCCAAACCTCATGATTTTCCTACCCTTCCTCCTCTCCACAGTATGTTCTCACAGCAGCAGGCATCGCCGCAGTTCACTCAGCAGAACAACAGCAACATGTACAACGGCAATGGCATGAACCTTAACAACGTCTCCATGGCCGCCAACATGGCTACCAGCAGCATGGGCCAGATGGGCGGGCAGATGAGCGTCACGTCCATGGCCTCGGGGCCCTCGCCCGGCTTGCCCTCCATGGGAACAGAACAGGTAAATACAAGACAAAAACATCAGCAGTCTAAATCAGTGGTTCTTACCTGGTCGAGCCTCAGGATCCACCAACTACATGAAAAATCGCAACCCACATTTCTCATATTTTCCAATCAATCCGATTTATTTAAAGAAAAATTGTATAGTTTGGACCTCAGAAGTTAGAAAGCGTGAACTAAGACACTGAATGAAACAAACTTGTTAAAAAAAGATTTAAAAAAAAGGGCTTCATAGACTTTTTGACAGCAGTTTTCTTCCAGGCACACACATTTGCAACCCACTGAAAAAAGCTCTGCGACCCACTTTTGGGTCCCGACCCACCAGTTGAGAACCACCGGTCTGAAGAACATGGAAAATAAGTCAGTTTTGGAATGGTAGCAGCGAGAATTAGCCAAATGAAAGGTAATATCCTCAGTGTGTGCCTTTCAATAAGCACTCTGTAGGAAGTCAGACACTTTTAGAGTTTAAACCTTGGGAGCTCAGACCCCTTCCAGTTTTACAAAGCAGTCAAGGGACCAAGAAAAACTAAAAGGTTCGTCGTTCTTTCTCCTCACACCGGGCTGCTTATCTTCTGTGTTTGTGTTATGGTAAGACCCTAAGTGTTTGGGTACACTTATTGAACCGGCGTGCTAGTGAATAATTTACTCAGTTTACGTCAGGCCTCCAGCTGGAGTTCTGATGTTTCACTTGAACTTAGAGGACAATGATGTAATTAGCAGCGGGCACTTTAGAGCCAGACCATTTAGACTATATAGATGTTACGGTATGATGTGTAAATGCTGCACTGTCTGGATTCAAGACGAATCAGCTGCTTGACTGAACCATAAAAACCTGATGGGTCAAACTTACACACTCTCAACGGACATTAAAGGCAGAATATGCTTTCTTTTTTTTTTTTGATCCAGCAGATGTCGCCCTTGAGCACCAGCATGAAACCAAAACAACTTGCGCTGCATTGTTTTGTTAGCAATGCTACCAATCTTTATTATGCTCGTCTCTTCACACTGCATGTAAATTTACCCGAAATGACCGTGATCTAGAAACGCTTCACATATGCACTCCAGATAATATCTAGATATTTACGGGAGGACTTCTCCGGAGATTCTCTCGACCTAGCCGTTCACATATGCTCCTCATAGCGGGGGACTTTCCCTGTCAGAGGGGAGGGGCCGCGGGGGATTTCCCGACGTAAGACGTGACGTAAATAAACAACGCAGCCGAAGCAGCAGAGTCCGCTACACAACGTTATAATGAGAATATTTGCCTTTATGTCAATGCTATGTGTAGTCCAATGGAATGACAACATCCACAAAAGAGAGGAGAACAACATACTGACGAACAGAAAACATAACGCAGACGTTTAATTACGTGCACGGAGATCGTAGTGGTTGTGCAGACACTTTAGCCGGTCACTATATAAACGTCACTCTCTTCCTATTGGCTCAAATTGAAACTCTCCGGAGTATATTCGGCCGCGTTCAGACATCAGCTCCTCCGGATTATCTGCGGAAAAAATACTAGGAGTCTGGCCAGATAAACTCCGGGTTATATCAGAGTAAAAAATTCTTTAAAAAAATTTCCTCCTGGAAATCTCCGGAGTTTTTCAGGAGATTTCCATATGTGTGAAAAGGGTTTATGTTATTCTTCTTTTCTCTAGTCCCTCAATTAAACAACTTTTATACGCGAGGGGATGAGCCGGCCGTCCCGGCGATGTGAACAAAGTGAAGCTACGGCTAGGAAAACATCACAGACAGTGGGACTCAGGTGTCACACTCATTGTACAGTCATGACTCACAGAGTTATTTTCAGAGGATATACTTGATTTCTGCTACATTTAAGTGTGAAAAATCACATATTCAGCCTTTAACAAGTCGGAGAAAACAAGTCAGACTTTCAGCACTTTATTTCTGGTGATTATGAAGTGATAACTGAGTTAATCCTTCTTCCTTTGTCTCCCTGGTATTGTTAGCCTGGTATGTAGAATATACTGTTGATGTCCGTGATGCTTTTAAGCCCAATAAAGGCCCATGAATATTTAACCAAGGAGCTGCTGTTTGATTGTCTGCACTTCAGACTGTTGTAACACACCAGTATATCTGTCACTAGATTTATCCTCCTTCCAGGATTATAGAAATATATTGGCACTTAGATAATTTCAATTATTTACCGTTTGGCCATTAGTGCAGACTTTTGTGATTTACGGATTTCTTTTAGCCTCTGTGGTGTGCTCCAAGGTGGTTTCTAATTGTTTAAGTCTGCTGGTTTGCTACGGAGAAGTTCTGCGGGTTCAGAAACACTTGTGCTGCTCAATTTGTGTTTTCATTAGATTGCTGTGACTGAAAATGTGTTATTTCTCTGCAGAAATACTGTTGACCCTCATGGAGCTCTTACCCTGAACCTCAGTGATCAGCTGGTCCAAGGAGCACGTCGGCCCTTTAAAATTGTACAAACATGTAACCATCTGACGGCCCCTTGAACCAGCCAGGCCCGGACCCCGGCCCCCGGATGTCACCCCCAGCTCCGAGTTTGCTGTCTGTCCCCAGGCCGGGTGTCTTCGGCAGGACCCCCGGAGGAGCCCGGCCCCCGAACAGACACCAGAGTGTGTGCAGAGGGCTGGGGGTGGTGGGGGGGGGGGGGGAGGGATTGTGGATCTATGTCCTAACCTGCCTAACCCTCCTGGAGGAGAGCCTTGTGATGAGCCAGTCTGTCTGCCTGTCCAGCTGCATTCACCGTAGTGTGACTTACTGTAAGCCTCCTCAACAGGGGGGGACACTGACCTAAAGAGGGCAGCAGTGGGTGGGATCCCTTGTTCTGATGAATGTATTCCTCTCAGTGGACAGCGGCCATTTACAATCTCATCTCAGAAAATGACGTACACTGATTTTCTTTTTCTCACTCATTTGGGACATTTGCCCATAATTCCAAAATGGCAGCAAAGACTCCAAGTTGTGTTCAAATCTACGGACGGAGCTGGAACACTTAACCGGTTTTGCCTTTTTGCTGATCTTTATTTTATTATTATTTTAGTTGTTTATTTTATTTTTCTTGTTGTGAGAAATAAGATGTAGAATGAAGATATGGTTGAAAAAACTGATCTTGAAAAACACTGCAGAAGAATGGTTTGAGTGGAATGGAGATTTGTATGATTAGACTAATTTAGTCAAGAGGTTTATATAGTGTATTAAATTAAGTTTTATTTTTCTGTATAGATTCATTTTAAATATTGTAGATGATTCTTTATCCTAGTAGCAACAAGAAAAAAGATTTCTCAAAGTGTGAAAGAGGCACTTTTTTATCATTTTAACAGTAATGGTTGTATTCTTTCTGAGAAGATTCTTCTTTAAGCCTGAATTATGGATTATACTTTGGTCCTGGAGTTTCAGAAGAAGATGTCAAAATCATATATGGTTTCAAAATGAACTACAGAGATTGTACATACCGATAAGAAAAAACATTTTCTTTCCTATTTATTTTATTCCTTAGGGTTTGGTTCTCCCTCCCTGTCTGGTCACAACTGCCTCTTGAAGCAGAGCAGGTATTTCTTTTCTTTTTTTTTCTTTTCTTTTATTACTTTTTGGGTGGTGGAGTGGGAGCCTTCACGTTCTGGTACGATGCAGAAATGGGTGTGGGTGGGAGGTATAGGGAAGGTTTGTAAGGGGGTGTGCTGTGTATACAGTGTACAGATTATCGCTTGCTTCTCTGCCTTTAGCATAGAACGTCACAGAAAAATTAAAAAAAAAAATAAGGACAACTTCAACACAGCCATACAATTATTAAAAAAAAAAATTAACAGAAGTGTGCTTTCTATGTTGTCTGGAGTGAAAAGTGCTTCATACAAGCTGCTAGGTGCAAACTGTTCTGGTGTGATGTAAACAAGCAATAACGATTACTTGAGAATCACTTTGGGTTGTTTGTTTCTTTTCTTGTTTTTTTTTTTTCTTTTTGTCTTTTTTGTTTTCGTTGTTTTTGTACAGTTTCCTGAAAACAAAAGGACACATTTTTGCTCCACGTTTGGATGCAGTATTAAACACCGTTTTTTATTGCAGTTTGTACCAAGAAAGTCTGCAGCCACACACAGCGTTCCTGTTTCGATTATGCAGCCACTGTTCTATCGCAGAGGTCAGAGTTAAGACTGCACGGTTCACCAGACCTGCTCTGACAGACACTTAGCCATATTTTATGACCTCAGGCAGAATAAAGTGTTCGGTAATGACTTGCTATTCTTGTGCCCCAGGAGGGGTTTGGTTTGACCTTCACAAGATCCAAAGCAAGTCATCCTCTCTAACCTCAAAAATACATTTTTCCTCAAACAAAACTTTTTTATATCGACTATTTTAACCCAGGACAAACTTGGAGCAAGCCAAATAATCCTCACCTTTCAATTGGATTTCTGAATTCTACCAGCTTTTATTTTCATAGTGAGAGAAGACCTGTTGGTTAGCATGTTCATAGGCCCACAAAGGAAAAAAAGATATATACATTTTTGATGTCACTTATCAGGGTCAAATGTAGATGTTGCAGCATAAAAGAGGAAGAGAATCATTCTGAATGTATTGTCATTTAAGGCCTAAGCATGTGACTGATGGTGTGTTTTGTCAACCTGTTGACAACATGGTGACGTGCAGTTACACCATGCTCTTCTCAGCATTTAGGTAGGATGTTGCCCATTGCTGCTTCTCTTTTTGTTTTGTTTTTTTATCATTAAGTTCTCTTTGAAAATTGAAGCTGTAGCAAGTGAACTTTTTGACAAAGATAGTCTGCATTCAGCTTTTATTTGACATGATTTCAGAAATCCTGCAGCTGTTTGGCTGCAGGCCGACAGAATATCACTTTCTTTTTTAAATAAATGCTGTTTTGATTGTATCATACAGTCGTGCAGAACAAGACTTTTTGAGCCATTTTGAAGAATGATTCACAGCCCTTTGCAAAATTTCCAAAGATTGTCAACATTTAAAAAAAGATTTAAAGCCATGTGGTAGCAATGCATTTTTTAGCATTTATAATGAGGACAGGAGCAAATCAATGATTTTGCCCCGTACAGATATCCAGGCTTTTGGACCCACTAAACATTTGTTTTTCCTCTTTAATCAATTGTTTTGAAGAACTTAAAATGCCCTTTTGTATTGTCTGCCAATTTCTTAGAGCTAAGATGCAACCTTGAAATGCTAAAAACCCTAGCATAATGCCTTAGATTTCGTCCTTTCTCGTTCTTGTACATTACACCGCTGTCTGTATAAATTTGTATAACTTGTGTACAATATTGAATGGGTGCATCATTGTTCAACTTTTTTCGCAGTTGCTGGAGACTCTGTCCCTCATCATTGCTCGCTGTTTTGTGTTGGGTTGAAGACTCTGCTATCCTCCCCCCCACCCCCACCCCCCTACACACACACACACACACACACACACACACACACACACACACAAACCCACCCTGTTTGTATGGAAAAGATGATACATAAGGATATTGAAGCAATATGTAAAATACTATATGGACTTTCTATAGAAAGCCTACCGTTGTGTTTTTCCCCCCCGAGATATTTGTTTCTGCATTGTTCACATGAATCACACTGTATACCTGCATCCATCTTTGTATCCCAAGTGTGTGTGAGCGTTTTATGCAAAATTAGATATACAAGAGAAGTTAAAACCACAGTTATGCAAGTTGTGAACTAATATGGCTTCGCTGATGCTATTTGCCTTGTAAATAAAGAATTCTGTTATTGCAGTATTTAATCGGGTGAGTCTTATTTCATACAAAGAAATGAAGAGTTCTTCTGAGCATAAAAAGGCCTTAGTGTTCTTCTTTTATTTTTCTAACAAGTAAAAGAATAAACAACGAACAGTGTTTAGCATACTTTATACTCAATAACAAAGTGCTACATTTTCCACTGATCTTTTCAATGAATTTACCCATACACTTAACAAATGGCCTAAATATACACTTAAGAAATAGTAGCCAACATTTTATTAAAATAATTGCCACGAAAGTATGCTATAGGTGAAAATAGTGTTTTAGAAATTGTATAAATGAATATTAAACTAATCCCTTCAGATTAAATGCTACATTTAGCTTTCCTTTTGGATGGGGTACATGCGGAAATGTAGGCCTTCTTCATTTAAATACCAATACCCTGTTAACGAGCCATAGGCCTACTACTGCATTTTATAATGTATTTATTTATTTATTTGATGTTTATATTGACATATATGTTAAGGCTACCAGTGGTAGGCCTACATAAAAGCTAGTTTATGACCTCCTTCTGCAGAAGGCCGTGACTGCTGCTTCACAAAACGACACACAAAAACAATACAAATGTCAGCAGATACGACCAGTGGGCCTAAGAATTTAATAACTTAACAAAACAAGCTGTTTCATGATCCCATTTACGAACGTATGGAAATGACTCTCTTCAGTGTTATTCATTTATTCTAAATGACTTGTGTTTGCAGTGAGAGAGAACTCTTCCTCACAACATCCAGGTCATATCAGTAGGATATTATCTTTAGTTCAAGGGTCCGTCGGATAAAATCGCTTCAAGTGTTTGCTGAGCAGGGGAAACCCTCTCTCCCGTCAGCCTCATAGCAGAGAAAGCAGATTGCTGTGGAGAAGTTAAGGGTGTGGGTTGTCCCTGGGAAGATGTATTCCTGAGGGGCATTGAGATGCATGAGGCACGAGCTGACTCCTGACCAATAGGAAGAAGGAAGCGAAGGAAGCATCTCCTGCAGACCCCACCGTGTTCAGTAAAGGTGCCCTCAGATGACCACAGAACAACACAGAGAGAAAGGTCCCTGCAGCTCAGTCTCAAGTTTGGACCTTTTTTTTTTCTTCTTCCCCCCCCGCGGCACACTTTGTGGAGATTTTTGCGTGCTGTTTTTGATGTTGTTGTTCAAACTGAAGCCCGCGGACATGACAGAGACAACTTTACTGTGAAACATCCAATTTCATCTACCAAAGTAAGTTGTTTTTTTTTTATCTTCAAAAATCACCGCAGCTCAACATTGCTGCCTTTCATATAAAGGGAATTGTATCCTACTCACTGAAATAATTTAAGTATTTTATTTTATTATGAGTAGGCGTATTTTATATAATTTGGATGCTCCAAGTTTTCCATTAGTTTGAAATTACGCACGAAACTTGTCAACCTATCTTTAGTGCTTTTACTAAACCTACCCTTTTTACAAATCGTTACTTCAGTTTCATGATGAGGACAATATTTCCTGTACCTCAGCATTTTCCTCTCAACAATTCTCCTGCTGATGTCTCTTTATTTTCAACGATTTGCCTTACGGTAAAGTCCGTAAAAAGCTTCATTAATGTTGACCTCTGCTCCGGCCGACTGTTCGGTAATGAGTGTCATGACCCTGATTTGTCTCTCTATTTACTGGCTGATTGCTGAACGCTCTCCTTAAAAGAACACACCGTGTTCCTTGCTGCTCATTTAAAGCAGCTGATGAACAGTTGGTGTGTGTCTGCTTGTGTGTGCTCTCAGCTGGAAATATTGCAAAGTCGGCCGTCCAATTTCACTGTGCAATGCTTTTATTAC